AACCAAAGAGATCAGCAGAAATACAAGACAAAAACATTTGCTTTGAACATAAGTCAATTTCTTTTTTACATGAAGTTACAATCTTGTAATTGGGTAAAATTTTCACATGTAATCCTAGGTTAATGCTCTCTTCCACCATATTAAGTCTTTTGATGACTCCTGTCAGAGGAGATTAAATGAGAATATATATGTGACCTTATAAACTGTAAGTACTCTATAGCTGCTCAAATAGGGGAATAATGACATGATCTAAAATATGTAAAACCAACAGATCTCCTCTGATCATGTCACTATAAAGGTGAATATTGTATGCCATATATAGCTGATATTTCTATACAAATGTATAAAGGCAGTTGAATGCAATTTTTATTTTTAAAGCAGTTTGAAAAAAAAAAATCTAATCCAATGTGATATTATGAAGTTAGGAAAGGACAGTGAGAACAGTGGGCATATAGTAGTTTGATCAGATCCTCCCAGTGACAAGAATGCTGTCCTTTATTTAATTTTTTTACATTACCAAGGATTTCAAAAACATAATTCTTACCAATTTCCGATTTTTATAGCACATGTTATGTGATCTTGCTTATGAGTTAGTATTCACTTTTGTATAAAAGAACTGTGAATGGTAAGTTTAATGCAGAAGGAAAATGGCCTGGTAGATGAGCTTACAGAATCTGACGAATACCAACACTTCCACTCACTAGCTGTGTGACATCAGCTAAGGTACTGTCTTCTATGCCTCAGTTGCTCCTATGGAAAAAGACACTAGAATACTCATCTTGTGTAGTTTGAAGACCAAATGAAGTCATGTATATAACGCACTTAGGACAGGACCTAACACATAGTGAATGGGAGCTGTTAAGAGTGTCATTGTATACCCTTCGTAAGAATAGGAGTAGTAATGTAACTGTAATTTTTAACATAACGTATTTGTGGTTACAGCAAACACAAACCATTTGTAAACCACAGGAATTATGCTAAATAGAAACTATATTCTTGAACTACAGATAGTATTATTTCTTATGGTGTGACTGGCAATTAAATTTATGAAAAGAGTGAGGAGCATTTCATAGAGTAACTAGATTACTCATTACATCATCAGCATGCCTGAAAGAGTTCCTTCATTTTTTGACATTGAGTATACCATAAACCAATGCTATTTTATGTATTTGATGTTCTTACACAAGACTGAGCATAGACAAAATCCCCGATGATTAAGATGAATTAAAAAGGGAGGTGGTCCCATAGCCTAGTGATTAGGGGAGTCAGATCCCACATGGCCAGTTGTGGTTTGAATCCAGTCCTGCCAGCTGTAAAAACATGCAGGATAAGGGTGCACACATGCCCCAAATCCCAACGGGCTGGTGAAATGGAGAAGGGATTGCAGTATGACCACACTGCAGTGGGGGTTGCTTTTTCCCTCTCTGTCTCTCCCTGACAAGTACACATATCCTCTGTCAATTAAGGAGAAAAAATAAGAGTATAACAACAACTAGAAAGGTAGACACCAATGGTGGTATTTGACACATAATTAAATGAACTTACCAACTGTCAACTTTTGCTAATGCTAAAGGAGCCTTCCAGATGAAAGGTGGAATGCTCATAAGTTGCATGGTACAGCCATTGTTTTAGGATTTATGTAAGGACAATGTCCCTGCAGGTGGACTCACAGTAGTCTTTGGTGCCAAGTTGTGGGGGTTCCCAGCTACCCAATTGCAGGGAATTCGAGTAATTATTATGATACCATCAGTCCACTAATTGCTTGTAGTATACTACATTTTTAACTAACTAAAATCTATTTTCTATGTAGTATATAAAATGAATAATGACCAAACTTTTATAAGCATTATCCTTTTCTAATTCCAAAATAACTCCTCTGTGTAGAACACTTAGAAAATGCTCATCTTAACTGGAGATATCAAATGACACATATAATAAAATATATGACTTACTTGATTCCTAGATAAAGTCCTAAAGATGAAGAAATACAGGTAAGGTTAAAACAATAAAAAGTGCATAGGCACATTATTTGGCATAAAAACATTCAAGGACTCTTTCTTACCTCAAGAATGGGACACATAACTTCTGCTGTGACATCACCATGATTCTTACAGAATTTATAGAAGGCCTCAAGGTAAGACTAAAAAAGAAAAAAGATCATAAAACAATAGAATGAATATAGTTTCCTTTTGGAAACTTTTAGATCAGCTTCTCATGGCTTATTAAATGCTTTAATGGAAATTGAATTACTTCTCCCATAGGGAGGAATTTTATAATAAATTTTGTAGAAGCTTTCACGTTGCAGCATGTAGCATAGACTAAAAGAGAACTCCATAAAAGAACATAATTGCATTTATCATAACTTATAATTACTTAACAGCACTTTTTTTGTGCATAGTTCTTGGGTTATTTCACATGGCTGAGTTTTGCTATTTTAACAAGAGTGCCAAGATCTTTTTTGGGCTCAGCCCTATGCCGACATTTAATCTCTTATAGACACATTTGGGATGGTTTGGAGCACAGGGATGTATTGGAAAGGCATAGAGTGTGTGTTGTAGGGTCAGACTGCATGTGTTTGGATCCTGGCCTTTACACTTACTAGCTAATTAAATTCTGCCCAGAAAACCTTACCTCTCTATGCCCCAGTTTTCTCATCTGAGGAATGGAGATAATATAAGCATCATAGTTTTCCTGGGTGGACTAAGGAGTTAAAACTTATAAGCTGCTTAGAATAGTGCCTTCTGTTAGTTATATTTCAGGGATGCTGTCTCTAAGCACAGAAGTCTCTTTATAAAAGGGAAAACTACATGCAATAGAATGCTTTTGAGAGGACCGTGTGTTTGAACATGACATGCTATATATACGGCACGGAAGTATATATTCACTTACTCTGTGAGAGCATCCAAAAATGCTATGTCTGTAAGAGTAAAAGTGGGCAGACTGTGCTCATGCTATAATATATGACGCTACTCTATTGGCCACATGTGGGAGGCTGCGCACCAGCGAATATCGCTGGTTCCTCAGAAAGCAAACAATTACACAATGCCAAAGGCCATGATTGGCTCCCCTTCAAAAACCTCACCTTCAGAACCATACTCTAATTGGCTACTTCCTATAGCAAATTGGTGAGCTTAGAATCCCTCAGATTTGCATATCCAGCACCTCATGATTGGTCCACAGAAGCAACCAATCATAACCCACCTTTTATAATCCTTCATTCAACCAATCACTGTCCACCAGCATGTATATAACCACGACCCCTGGCCCACAATCTCCAGACGACCCTGAAGACCCTGAAGAGTTGTAACAGTGTCATCTCCAGACGACCTGGAAGACCCTGAAGAGCTGTGATACTGCGGGGTCTCTAGTGACCCTGAAGAGTTGTGACACCGCGTTGTCTTCAGACAACCCTGAAAAGCTGTGACACCGTGTTGTCTCCGGACGACCCTGAGGGGCTGTGGCACTGTGTCGTCTCCATGCTGCCCACAATAAATGGGTGACCCTGACTCTGCGTAGTCTCCATGTTGTGCCATTGCACTGCTCGTCCCAGCTCTCACTCCTTCCCTTAGAAAACCTGTTCGACTGTTCCCTGGGCTGGGACAGCCACACAGTCCAGATAGTCATATACCAGAGGTATTTGAGAAGCAGTGTCCACACTCTGGTCCTGCTGGGATTCTGCACACATTGGTTAAAATTGTGTGAGAAGGTTAACTGTGAGATTCAGGGTTCCAAGATAACAGGATCCAGGACAGAGATAGACACTGCTTAACAGATTACTATGTAGGATTGTCTCCTGAGCACGGTAGTCATGCTCTGCTCAGAATAAGCCAGATCCCACATGGCAACTGAGGTTTGAATCCCTGGCCCTGTTAGCCTGAAACATGCCTGGCATGCACAGGAGGATTTGTTGGGCTGAAGGACTGGAGAAAGGGGACTGTGGTGTGACCAGACCTCATGGAGGGTACTCATCTCTCTCTCTCTCTCCCTTTCATTGTCACCTGCATATACATGAGTTTTATCATAAAATAAAGACAAAATTTATTTTAGAAAGAGGTTACTATGTACACTGGTAGCTTTAAATGGATTGATGTGGTTCACCCCACTCATCTACCCATCTATCCACATATTATCATCTAATCAACATCTTTCATATTCCAATCACCATGCAAGGGGCTAGGAACACAGAAGAATAGGGCATATTATTTCCTCTCAAAAATTTGACATGTATATGTCTACCTAGAAGAAAAGGCAGAATTATTCTGGTGTATGGGGGGGTGGATATTGCTACACTGCAATCCCTTCTTCATTCTCTTTGGATTTGGACTTGCACACATATGTGCCTGGCATGTTTTTCAAGCTGCCATGTCTGGCACTCAAACCAGATGTTCAACTATGCAGGATTCAGTCACCTTAACTCATGCCACCAGCTGGCCCAGCCGAAGTAAATTTTTCTTGTGTGTGTGAAATGCGATTTACTTTATTTTGTACCCTACTGTTTTTCGTACAGAACTCTAGATATGTATTAGGTAAACAAGAAAAATATTTGGGAAAACCATTACCTTGTATAATTTATTACGCAGTATTTCAATATTCAGTTCGTCTAGGGTATTTTCAGACATACAGTCTTGAAAGAATGGAGCTGAAAGCAGAAATTATCATACAAAATAAATGGGTTTAAAGATTATAAACTGTAGAAAATATCTCCTGAACACCCTACTCTCTGTTACTCCAGAATACTGCGGCATTGTGATCCACAGACCCAGTGAGGCTACTGGTAATCAGAATGATAGGAGTTACTACTCATTATGTGCTTATGTGTGAACCTCAAACACCATTCACTACACTAGACGTGGGAAATACCTTAACTTATTCAATCCTATAACGCCTTGCAACTATTCAATTAAGGCTTGCTTTTTGATGTCTCCCTCCCTCAAGTATTGAATAGTATAATAATATTAATATTTACCATTCACAGCCTTACTATGTGCCAAATATTGAGTTAGAATAAAACTGTTCATTTTAGTTTTCAAATCTCTGTTACAGTGAAATACAATTATTTCCTTTTTTTTTTTAAAAAAAAAGCAGATTATTTATTTAAAATCAGTACTTAACAGGAAGGTCAAAGGTAGAACAATTGCTACATATAATACCAAACAAAATTTGGGCCAATGGTGGAGGTGGAATGGAACACTGAGAGCCTTCTTCCAAACCGTCATTTTCAATTAAAGATTGTGTTCTATTTTGGTAGTGTCTCTGCTGAGAGCATTCCTTCAGTTTTTTTTTTTTAAATAAATTTATTTATTTATTGCATTTAATCACTGTGAGGAAATAGGTGAACTGAATTGCCTCAAGAAACCTCGTTTGGACTGACCAGAGTCTGGCTTCATGCTCACGGCTGTCTGATTCCAGACCCAGCATCTTTCCATCAGGCTGCCTCAGCATCTGAAACTTAATGATGACACCAATTTTTTTTTTCCCCCTTCTAAAGTTTCTGTTTTAAATGGCAACTATTTTGATAAATGACCAATAGTGAGCTGTTAGCTATACAAATTTTCTGACAATATTAGATAAATTATGCTTATATAAATGATCCCTTTAGCATTTTAAATACTGTAACTGATGTCAGTACCAAATTACCATGAAATTAACATTCAGTTCATCGTGGCTTAGAATCATTTGACAGATGCTCCTGAGCATCCCAGAAAAGTGACATTCCTAAACTTCCTGAAACAAAATGCTTTCTCCATGCAACCTTATTTAGGCAGAATTTAACACGAGAGAATGAGAAACTATTCATATGAAAACTAGCTAGGAACTGATTTGTTTTGGAAAAAGGCCAAATGCTCTCATTTATTCGCTGTGGTCTGGTACAAAGTACAGAGGTTGGAAGGTTGAGAGATGAGCCCCTGCTGCTTCTCTGCTACAAATGGTTTATATGTGACCCTGAGAAGTTGTCTTCACTTGCCTTGACCTGAAAAATGAGGGATCCGGACTTGATGATTCTTTAATGTCCTTTTCACTGCTAGGAATCTGTAGGCCACTGTATGCATGATTTTTAAAAATGTGACTGGACAGTATGTTTTCTGAAGGCTGTGATCACATACAGCAGTAGCTACGCAAGTCCTTAGTCATACCTAGTGGTGTTTCAACCAGAACAGCATGGAAGAGATCTGAAGGTGTCTCCGCGATGTTGACTGCCTCCATCTCTGTGAAACGGCCTAGTGGGTGGCACTTCACCAGAATTTCTTTCACCGACTTTTTTTGCAATGCACCATTCATCAGTAGAATCACATTGTCTATCATGTAACTGCACCTGGTTTATAAGAAGACCCAGTCATTAGGAAAACAACCGCATATGACTAAGAAGCATCTCACAAGTGAAAACGTGTAATTCAGGACACACTCTCACCCAGGAAATAGATGAGTCTCTCTTTTAAACTCTGTTTGTTTTTTTCCCCCACTATTAAATTATTTATTAATTAGTATTATTGGGACCAGCAGTTGGCATAATGGCTATGGTGCTGGACTCCCATGCAGTTGACAACAGTTCAAGTCCTGGACCCAATGGCTTAAACTCATGACAGGCACATGTGTGTGCTTGCTCAAGATCCCAAGTGGAGAATGGAGGAGAAGGGATTGTGGCATGGCCATCCCCCCCCGGGGGGTGATTTCTCGCTTTCTGTCTCTCTGTCTTTCTGGAGGGTGCATGCACCCTATAGCAAAAACCTTTCAAAAAAAAGAAAAAAGAAAAGAAAAAAAATGGTATTATTCTTATTTAATTTGCTATAGTGTGCATGTGCTGACCAGAAAGAAAGAGATGCATAGAAAGGGAAAATGAGAAATGAGAGCAAGCTGCTAGGTCCAGGACTCAAATTGTAATTAGCCAGGTGGTAGTCCAACGCCTTAACCACTACATTACCTGCTGGCCCCATTATCTCTGGGGTTTAAGAGACATGGATGGGGATAAAAAGGAGAGAGAGAGACTCAGATAGGGAAAACTATCTGACTTTCTGGGGGGGGGCATCAGTTTGAAAAGCCATATTCAATATGAGAGTAACTAACTAAGGTAGGATAAACCTTGGCAGGAATAGGCAGAAGTGCTCCCTGCACAGTAATTCTCAAATATGCTGGGGAGGGGTGTGGGATGAAATTGTTTGGTTTGGCAGAATGGACTGTAGGCTTGAGAAACACAGAGCTGGAGCATCTCACTCTACTCTAAACAGCAACTACTTGACTCTAAAGTGAAGCCTATCACCAAAGATTCAAAATTTAATGCTAAAACCGTGTTCCTGGTCTCCTATGAGCCCAGAGAGTGAATTTTCTAGCCGTCTACTGCCTTAGATCCCGAAAAGCCCATGTTCATATTTTTTGTGATTTCTACACCCAATATAACATCTTCCCAGGATAGTCTAGATGTGTGTGCTTGCTGACGCATGTCCTCAGCATCTACGATATTCTAAGCAATGAAGCCAAGAAGCCGAAGAGACTCCGCTCCTTCCTTCATAGAAATGCACCTTAAAAGAGGAACTGGACAAAGAGTTGTTTTCAACAGATTACTGTGAAGTTTATGTAAGATACAAAAGAATTTATAGGGTGGTGAGGGGATTGGTAACTGGGCACTAATCCAGTCCAGGGAGCAGACTTCCCAGAGGAATGACATTCAAGTTGAAACCTGAAGAGTGAGTAAGAGTTATTCAGGCAAAGTGGCTGGGGAAAGAGGGTTTCAAGGCAGAAAGACGAGTGCTGGAAGAGCCCAGAGATGAGTACACAAGGAGACTGAGGGTATTTGTTGTGCTTGGGGCCACAGCAAGCAGGCAGGTTTCTAAAAGACAAGATCAGAAATGTGGGTGTTAAGGGCAAAGGATATTGAATCCCCTTAACCTGAATGGAATATTATTATGATAGAGAATATGGACTAAAAAAGAAGAGGTAAAAAGACATACGGGGAGGTACTTTACAAAGACTTATTTTATACAATCATGATAACAACACTGGCAGGTAGGGCCATTATTATCTCCATTTTATAGATCAGGAACCAAACACCCAGAGAGATAAAAATGTAGCCCAGGATGATACACACAGCTAGCAAACTGGAGAGCTGATTCTCAAACTCAGGCAGTCAGTTCTTGGAATCTAACTGTATTAACCTGCTTTCAGCTGTAGAGGATGATGTATATGTGAGTGTTTTGTTTTGATTCTTAGATTTTTTTTTTTTTTGCTGCAGTGAGCCAGAGAAAAACAGAGAGAGGGAAAGTGAGAAATCACCTTCAGGGTGGATAGCCACATCACAATCCCTTCTTCATTCTCCTCTTGGGATTTTGGGCATGCACGCACGTGTGCCCAGTGTGATTTTCAAGCCGCTGGGTCTAGGACTTGAATCGTGGTTGGGCATGTGGGAGTCCAGTCCTTTAACCACTACACCACCTTCTGGCCCCCTGATGCATGTGGTTTTAGATTTAATAGATTGTAGAGTCGTTTGTTAGGATGAGAGCATTGGAGCAAGAGGGGGTTGCTGTAGGTGTAGCTATTTTAGACAGAACGAGTTTAGGGGCCCAGGAAAGAACCAAGAAGAGACACCCAGTAGGCCTCAGGACTCTGAATCTTGAAGACATCTGGAGACTAGCAACATGGGATGTGGGGGCTGGGGTGGGAGCAGGATTAGGAGGGGCTTGTTTAAAGGTGGAAATTGAAGTTTTAGGAATAATTAGGATTGTATCCTAGAGTTCTTAAGAATGCCAGGGAACTCCAATGTTTAAGAAACTTGAAGAAACCTGAGAAGAATGACCAGATAGGAAGAGGGGGCTCTGGGAAGAAAATTCTACAACATTTCCTAGAGAGTTCTAGGAAGAAGTGATAGGAATGTCAAAGGCCACCCTTAAGTCAAGGTAGATGCTGAAGGAGACATTGATAGGCTATGGCAGCTGAGGTCATCTGAGAGTGCAGGGAATGTGTGATGGGGAGAGAGGGAGGAGGAAGGTAGAAGCCTCATCAGTGTGTGTGTTTAAAATGAATGGGAAGTAAAAATACCTTAAAAAAAAAGAGTGATACATATGACAAAATATCCTTAAAGGATAGGAAAGAAAGTTATATGGCAATCCGGGGGGCCAAGAGAGCTTTTGATTTAGTTATTAAGGTGGGAAAGAAGTGAGGATGTTTAAGTGCTGAGGCAAAGGAAGCAGTCAGGAAGGTGAAGTTGCAGGTGGGAAGAGGGAAGGCACAGCCCGCTGATGAATTGAGGTCCCCCGGGTTTGATGGTGATGGGAGGTTTAACCACGGCCACAAGACAGGCTTGAAAAATGACACCTTCCACTGGGTGAAAATTAACCTAGACACTGAAAAGCACTGTCACTGGAGTCTGGCTGTATGAGTTACAGTCTTCATGTTCAAGAATTCATTTCTGGCTGGAAAAGCGAGTCTCTTTCATTGTGGAGTTTCTACAATTCACCCCAATAAAAGTTCTAAGAAGTTTTTGAAGCAACCAATTATCCCTTTATAAAAAGCACACGACTATAAAGTTACTTCGCCTCCCAAACAGCAGAACCAAATTTAGACATTATGGAATTTTAGAATCCTTTTTATCTCTTGAAAATGATATTAAAATGGAAGTGCTTATTTAACTGTCCCTTTATGGCTCAAAAGCAATTACCTGAGAGGGGAATTGCCAGCACTTAATAATCCTTAGCAGGCTCCAGACATTTAATTGTTCCCTACAGCACCCCTGTAATGTAACAGCATACGAGCTGCTCACATTCCCAATTTGCAGAGGACTATTAGACCAATGTTGACGGACAACCAATGTCAATGCTGTGAGCAGGCCTGGGCCTACATGTGACATCCATGGGCCTACATAGTGTGTGCATATGCATATATTGACAATTTTTAACTTCAGTCACATGAGGTGAGAGAGGTGAGGCCCTCTACTGCAAAGAACAAGAGCTTTATAGCTTGGATTCAACTTTATTTCAACTCTTACTTTTGAGGTGGCTTTGTTTCTAAAATGGGACAGTAAGACTAGTTCTCAGAGTGTTCATTTCCTGAATGGAAATGAAGTGAGAACTCAGGGCTTGGTCCATGCAGAGGGGGGTGGAGAAGCGGAGTAGGGAGTGTCTCGTTGCCATCTTCCCCATTCCCATCTCAAGGGATATCATTATCATTGGCTGTTAGGGTGATGGAGAGATAATGTGTCCAGAAGATAGTTTATTAGGGGTCTTCAACAAGTTTGTGAGAAATATCAATATTTTAGGAAAAATGTACACGGATTTCAATTTTTTTTTTTGCACCAAAGTTAAGTCATGCTTTAATTCCATTTCCCATGAACCTTTTTTTTTTGGAGTGGTTTTTGCTATAGGACATGTGCACTTTCCAGAAAGACAGAGACAGACAGAGAGACCGAAAGCAAGGAATCACTACCCACCCAGGGAGGATGGCCATGCCGCAATTCCTTCTCTCCATTCTCCTCTTGGGATCTCAGGCACGCATGCACATGTGCCCTGTGTGAGTTTAAGCCACTGGGTCCGGGACTCGAACTGTGTTTGACTACATGGGAATCCAGCGACATAGCCATTATGCCAGCTGCTGGTCCCTCCCCATGACCTTTTTCAAGTCCTCCCCCTCCTCATACATTCTCCAGACTATGATCTTCACAGGTCTCCAGGGTTATGCATATGATGGTGAGGAATTAAATAATCAGAAATGTTGTCTGAATGATCTTTGAGATTAAAGACATCTGAGTGTCCTAGTTCAACCTGCCCTCACATTTTGAATAACTGTGCTCGAAAGCAGTGACAGAGCTAGGATCAGTGCCCAGTTGGTCAAGTTCGTTTTTCTCCTACTTGTGGTCTAGACAAACATTGTTATTTTTAGTCCTCTCTAAATGTCTTATTCTATAACTCTAATTCTGGCACCTGTGAAAATCGTAAAGTCACCTAAAGCTGCGATAGAATAAATGACTCAATTTCAAAAATTTCAAGTTGTAAAGATATTTTTTAAATGCCAGCTTCATCTGCGTCTTTTACTATGTGTCAGGCATTCCGTGCAAGTTCTCACTCAAGCCTCACACACACTCAGTGCTGTGGAGACCATGATCACCTCTTCACAGATGAGGAGAGAGACTGGGAGGTAGCAAATATGTCACCCCTGATGGCACTCTGCTAGAAGACAGCGAGGCAGGGACCCTGAAAGTCAAAGTTCTGGCTCCCTATCAGGTTCAGATAAAACAGCTTCAGCCAGATAATACTTTGAATTATTTATTTAACTTTATTTATCATTATTATTTTAAAATTTTTAAAAGAGATTTTTGCTATAAGGCACATG